CGTCGGCCATTATTATCAACATTTTCTACTTAAGACAGTTTACGCTGAGATGAGGGCACAGTTTGCGCACTATTTATATGATAAACACTTTTTTGGGACAAACTTTTTGACTTTTATATAACTTTTTTATTATTCATTTACCGGTAGAAAAAATTTATGTGATTATAAAATACACTGTTTTTAAATACCATTAAAAAATTTCTAAATATTTCATAGCAATTGAAATGTGAGTTAAATTTGTATTATATATTAAGCAAACGATATATTAATTCAAAATTAAGTGAGAGTTAAGTATAAATCGTTGTCATAAAAATTGTCGATTATATGGATGTGTTTAAAATATATATAATTTTTGATCAAGTTTTATATTATAAAGTATTAAGTATTTCGAGTGTCAGTCCGTGACAATCGCACCGGTATTTCAGACCAACTGTTTGTCATTCAAGAGAAAAGACTCGCTGTTATCGTCGCTATCATTGCATTGGATTTCATTGAGTATGAAATCAAGGGTCGATTCATTAGCACTGGTATTACTAGTCATAATAGTGGACAGTCGTGGGCTCTTACGGGCTAATGGATAACCACTGGATCTGTTGGCTGCTGAGGGCCGGCGTCCGGGACTCGAGACTCTGGCCACAGGTTTAGTGAAACGCGGCGTCAACTGTCTTACCGGTTCAACAGTGGCTGTGTTGATGTCCACGAGCGACATAGTGACCGGTACTGCCTTTCCGAACGCCTTTCCCACCGATTTGTTGAGTCCGAAGGGCGACAACAGGTCCTCAGCAACCACTTCAACCATATTCTCTGTCACTTCCATCGCTTCCATGTCCTCCTTCACCGGTGTCTCGATTCTCAGCCAACGATTGTTGTTTTTGAGTGGAGTGTCGTCGTCAACGCCGAGAGTCTTGTTCAGAACGGATGCGTTGGAAGCGATGTCTTCGAGCGTGCGATTGATGAGAGGAGTCATGTCTTTGAACGGTGTCTGCACTCTATTGGCAATGGAAGCGTTGAAAATCTTCGCCGAATCGTCGCTCTTAATCGGCGTCTCCTTATCCATAGATGCCATGCCTTCGCTGGCAGTCCTCACCCGCACGGAAGCGCTAAACTTCACGGAAGTGTTCGCTCTTAACGGAGTGGTCGTAGTCTTCGCAAGCGATTCCTCACGAGTCGCGGATTCCATGGCAGAGATCGGACTCTCGACAATCGACTGCAAACCCAATGAGTAGTCCTTTCGCGAGCGCGACGTACGGCCAGTCAATGAACTCGCGGACAGCTCTTCAGCGGCGCCACCATCTGTGCCGTCACTACTGACCCCCAACTGCGATGACTGGCGGCTAGTCTTGTGGACACTCAACGGCTTAGCGAACGAGTCTCTGGCGGTCGAGTATCGAGGGGTCGCCACGTGATTGTATGTGGCCTTAGGTTTGGGTATTTTCGACACAAATCGCGGCGTCGACTGAGTTAATGGACGGCCAGTGGTGTCACCCGTCAGACCAATCAGCGACTGAGTGATGGGAACGTCCACTTCGAGCGCCCCGTTTCCCATCGTTTTGTTGATATCGAAGGGCGACAACAGGTCCTTAGCGTCCAATTCCACCACTTTGTCAGCCATTTCTAACTCATCCCTGTCCTCTACAATGGCCTGAAGGGGTGTCTCGAGTCCATGGGAACGGCTGCTGTCTCTCAGAGGTGTGGTGTTATCATAGCTGTCCACACGACTCTTAAATAGTGCTGAAGTACTGAAAACGCTGTCATCGATGGTCTCATTGATTACTGGAGTCCCGCTCTTGAGTGATGTCTGTCTTGAGTAGGTCTTCACGACTGGAGTGTTGTTGTCATCACTGGAATCGTCGCATTTGATAGGCATTTCCATATCTATCGGCGCCATCCCTTCGCTCGTATGTCTGACCCGAACGGAAGTGTTAAACTTCACGGAAGTATTAGCTCTGAAGGAAATGTCATTCTTGGCGCCCATCACGACCTCCATGTCCTCCTCATCAGCCGTCATATCGCCTCTAATGGGAGCTATGGTTTGCGACGCCATGTATGAGATGTTGTCAACAGTTGTGTCCACTTCTTGCAGAGGACTATCAGAAACGCACTTCGAGGCCATCGCTGTGATACTGTCGGCCATCGCATCCACTTCTTTGATCGGTGTCTGAGAAACGCTATCGAAGAATGACTGCGGAATCACTTGCGAGACATCCGTGGCATTCATGACATCGACTTCATTGGCATAAATGGCGGACACATTGGGTGCGAACGACTGGGTGGCCATCGCTGAGACATAGGCTGAAGTCAAGTCCACACCTTTACTCGGAGTCCCAACACTTCCAGCCGCTGATTGGCTACCATTTGGCGACACAAACAGCGAGTAATCATTGATCGACACGTGACCAGCGCTCGCGGTGGACAACAGGTAGGGATCGCTGGTCGAGATCATCGAGAAGTCGTTGAAGGGGTCCGAGTGGTGATAATCATCGGTCGCATCGGTGATCAACTCTCGCTGCACACCACCAGAAGTGATAGCAACTAACAGATCCAGTGGTAGTTCTTTGCGGGGCGTAAGGGCTGTCTGACTGCCGGCGCTCATCGACTGCGAGCCCATGGATGACACAAAGAGCGAGTAGTTGTCGCCCGACATGTGACCAGTCGGTGATGTCATGTCCAGCGACTCGTCATCGGCGGTAAGCACGCGATCGGCGCCGAACTGTTGTAGCCATTTGTCCACATACTGGCGCTCAGTGTCAGTGATGGCGCCCCAGAAGATGCCGTCCTCTTCGCCGCAGTAATCGTCCGCAAAACGACTAATGGTTTCACGAAAAACATGAGATAATTACTGAAGACATGAATCAAATACACGACAATCGAGTGTTGAGACAACTTGTGGTCACAAACACTCATCACTCGCGCAATACATACATGTCTTCGGCGCTTAAGTCGAGCCATTCAGCCATCGATGAGTCCGTGTCGTCGCACATGTCTTGCGGATTGTCTTACGGATCGGATTAATGGTTAAAATGAAGATTAAAACAGATTTAGCGGTGATTTGATGACACAAACAGTCACTGAATGTTGAGTTTTGCCAACAGTTTTGCAAACTTTTTTGAAATTCAAAGCAAACGTTGAATGCGTCGACGCGTGCCATTGGCTAACAGCGCGCGCAGTCATGACAACCGCACTCTCTATTGGCTAATAAACTTTGATAGCTTTTGGTGGGCTATTCAAAGCCTTATACATTCATAATTAATGATTAATTAAATGTAATCTGGGTAATTTAGACTAATTTATAAATTATAATGATTTAGCACTATTTATTCAAATTAGTTATACTTCACTAGATTTAAAGCAATATTTTAATGCATTACATGATTAACAATAACTTTTCATTAATATATTCCTCGTGTTTATGAATTAGATTTAAATAATATAAATAAACGGCTTATATGTCATCAATTGATTGAATTACTCATTGAGTTAATTATACAAAGAATACTAGATTTCAGTGATCATTGGTATCGGAGTAGATGTCTGACAAGAATCGCATACTTATGAGAGACCAGTCGACCAGTACTGGGGACTCATGGGAGGGTAGACTCAGAGTTAGGGCTCAGACTTATCCGGCCAAACAGATCCATGACTTACCGGACGAGTTGTTGGCTATGATTGTGAAGCGAATGGACTTCAGATCGCAAGTGAGGGCTCAGATGTCATCGATGGCGAGATGTCATCCAAACGGAGATATTTGACACTCGAACTACTCTTATGGTGACCAACACTTATAAGTCTTATACCGGGATATTCTTACCGTTTCGACGACTACCCCAACAGCCTTATCATTAATTTGGTGCAATTCATGCCATACGTAACCATCACTCGAAAGGTTATTCAAAGAAATTTCGGCATTTGAGACGACTTTATGTGTATATTTTCTGTCGTTTCTGGACATCAATGGTGCGCACAGTCATCGCCAGTTGTGACCACGATTTGGATCACTTGTCCATCATTTGGTCCACTCAAACACTAATAGAGCTCCGCATCAGTGAAGGCCAGTGTCGGCAGTTGTGTCGGAAGTACCCAAACCTCCGAGTCTTGCAGTTGCAGTCATATCCATCGATGTATTGCTCAAGAGTTTGCCACAACTCGAGGCATTGGTTTTGTTGAACCCTTTCCACAATCAGCCGGATCTGCCTAAATATGACTCAACAGTATTCCGGTCTATGAATCCCGATATCCGTGTCATACATACCGATTACTATCTCCTGTACGGCGATGTCCTGCAAGAGTTGGCTCACAAACCACTGAATCGGTTGGAAGAGTTGAGAGTCTCTAACATGCGGTTTGAGCACAACTTTACGGCTATAATCGGACAGCACTTCCAATCCCTGCGAAGACTATACCTATGGATGGATTGCTATGAAGACGAAGACGAGACTTATGAAGACATCAATGAATTCTTCAGAGACTTGTGTCGACTGAAGAACTTAGAGGAACTCAGTGTGGATCTCGAATCAGTTCATAGTCTGGACTCCAATGAGATCCAACTCCTGAATGGTTGTCCACAATTGCGATCACTGACTCTGATGGCCGACTTCACTACCGGTGTCATCGATGCCATCGAAAAGTACTGCGCAACTCATCCCATTCTTCGACGACTACGGGTTTGGCCTCAAAATTATGAGGAAATGACTGTCGAGTCTGTGAAGACATTCGTTAGGATCGCTAACCAAAGGCCCGACCTATCGGTTCGTTGTATATTTAGTGAGGAACTGGAGGTGGAGTTCATGGCTCTCAACCAAATCATACCAAACAATATTGACTTTCATTGCTTTGAATAGAGTTAAGAGTTAATTGTAAAACAAGTTATTTATTCAATGAATTTATATTTTCCTATTTGCTTTTTATTACATATAAAATTTATAGTTGCTTGGTTATTCAATATTCAATTTATCTAATTTATTAAATTGTATTAAGTTTTTACTATAGAAATGTTTGCATTTATTTCCATACAAAGTAAGCCATTTAAATGGATTTTAGTTGTAATTTGTGATCGATTTTTGAATTTATTCTCAATTTATTGATTACTTCATGAATTCAAAGGCAAAACATATGTTTCTTATAATTAATTAAATGTAAAATTATTTGTAATTAAAGTATTGAATTGTTAACATTCAATAACTTAGATGACTATTATATCCGTCGGAAAGCCATTAGACTATTGTCGGACCTGTTGTACGATAGGAGTCATCAGATTGTTATGAAACGATACGTGGATTCTGTGGACAACTTGAAGATAATTAAGACACTGATGGACAGCGACTGTCTGTACGTGTCTTTCGACGCGTTTCTCGTGTTTCACGTGTTTGTAGTTCACCCTAATAAGAGTGAATCGGTGGACAAATATATGGACCAAAATAAAGTGGATTTCATTAAATTCATTGAAAACTTTCAAAAGGATCGCAAAGATATGAAACTCTATGTCCAGGAAAAGGCAAATATGATTAGAATAAGAGTGAATCGGTGGACAAATATATGGACCAAAATAAAGTGCATTTCATTAAATTCATTGAAAACTTTCAAAAGGATCGCAAAGATATGAAACTCTATGTCCAGGAAAAGGCAAATATGATTAGACTGTTAAATGGCGAGCAATTGACTAAAGAGCCTAGTGACCCTGATGATTTGTCTACTATTAGTAAAGGCAATCCCAATGACAACTTTTTTGATTTCTTAAATTAGTTTATATTTTAATTTTTCAAGTTTAATGTTTAATATTAAAGTGTTTTTGGTATGAATTCATGTAAAAAACTTTTGTTCACAATTTGATTAATAGTATGGTTTGCTTTTAAACATTTGTTTTTAATTAAAAACATATTACAAAATGCTATTTATTAAATAAACATTAATACAAAAAATATCAATGTTATAACTTATTTATAAGTTAAAAATATCTAGTCATTAGCACGGTAATTATTTACAAGAATAACTACTGCCAAAACAAACTATTGCCAGAATTACATATACAAAAAATTATTTTTATTTAATAAAACAACAAAAAATTATATAATTTTGTACGCTATTGGGTAACAGTATGTTTTTAAGTTAAGTTAGGTTAATTTTCATTTACATTTGATCTAGGTAATTAATTTTCTGGCGTACAATTTAATGATATAAGTCACCCGATATAAAGTCAAGATATACAGTAATTAATGCTTAAATTAAGTGATGCAACTAGTTAGCAATACTTATATAAACACTGTGTAATCAGCGATATTTTTCATTAAAAGTCTATCATTTATATGATACGAGTTTGAAACTCATTTAAGTCCGATATAAGTGCTAAACTGAAACAATAAAGTATCTGTTTTCTCATATGAGACAATACATAAACCATATGTGAAAGCTTTTAGATCACATTTTTTACAGCAACAGCTACAGTTACCGGTAAATGGATGTACTGTATTAATAATTTATATACCTCTCATTTGACACCTTTTATCAAAACTAACAATTCATTAGAAACTTTTACTATAATTATTATTGTATTTCTCCCAGTACACATTCACTAATTCATAACAAATAGTCAGTGAAGATATACTTATGAAATAAAATTATTTCAAAATAACATGAATGCTAGTAATTCTGTAGAAATGAATAACTATTTATAAGTGTTTATAAAAGTTAAATGATTAGACAAAACAGGCTCTAGGGTTGAGTTTGGGAGCAACTTGTTGAACATATTTCTAACCTTGATAGTGATTTTCAAATGCCTTGAGTGGATTAGACGTCATACTTGCAACAAGACATTGAACACATAAACAGGTATTTAATACTCGTGTGGTATGTTTAGTAGAGTTAAGGGACAGGTAGGTTTTATACATTAGAAAGTGTTTTTCAACTCTCAGATTCCAATCCCCAATCACATAGTAATCAGTGACACGACTGGTTATGCGCGGGGAACTCCTATTATCTTAAGATATGGGGAGATATCATAATATGTGACGATATATGGCGACCAAACTCTAATCAGTCTGTGGTCTTGTGGTCTGAGTGTAAGGAGATTCCCAACGATCTGTTTGTTAGTATTAGTCGTGTAGTCACCACTCATTTCATCGCAATTTTGTGCAAATAGTTTGCAAACTTTTCGTGAAAACAAATCAATTTATTAATATTTGTGCGAAACATGCAAATCAATAATATGACGGGTGTACTGAAAAAAGTTTTATTAACCGCTGAACGAAAGGTATAGTTTTGTATATATTTTAAATTATTTTTCTATTTAAATTAAATCAAAACTTTCTCATAAATGTCACCTAAGTTTGTAAACACCTATTTGTGTTTGCAAACAGTTTTTCCTTATGACTAAATACTTTCCATACTTATATTGTATTGTCATTATTGATAAGATTTCCCAATTACTAAATATAATTACATTAACATAAGTTTATAATTTAATTAACTATAATGTCATTCATAAAAAAGTTTTATGTTTTGCAGTTCAACTCATTTCGGTCGATGTCTTTGAGTGTTAGCCAGTATTTTAAAGTAAGAAATATTGAATATTTTCCACGTTATCCCTATAAGCCAGACACTTTTCCACTCGTAAACATGTTTATTAACCCAATATTTCATTCACATAAACAAAACCAAGTCATCAGATCTCGAGATACAAGAGTGCAAACAAAATGAGCGTAAAGTCAAACCCGATTGGAGTCAACTGGTGTTTGGCCGCAGTTTTATGGACCATATGTTTGAGATCAACTGGAATCGGGATCAGGGATGGGGTACACCCGTCATCTGTCCCATACATAACCTCTCACTGCATCCATCAGCCAAAGTGCTTCATTACGCCCAAGAAGTGAGTCGAAAGTCCTATCGATTTGGTTATCAATGAATATTTCGTAACATATTTTTCTCGACAGTTATTTGAAGGCATGAAAGCTTTTCGCGGAATCGACGGCAAGATTAGGATTTTCAGACCCGATATGAATATGAAGCGAATGAGAGTCTCGGCTGAGAGGATCTGTTTGCCGGTCAGTAGTCTTTTTTGTTAACATACCCGTCCCCAGCAGTAGTGCAACTATTTTGTTTACTAAGTTTTTAACTCAATTAAGTGGCACTTGTATGCTGTGGTACACGAGAACTCAATGAGCACTCATTCATAGTGTTTGAAATAGTGTCTCAAAATATCTAATCATTGAAAAAGCATTGAAAAACTTCTACGAAATGATGAAAACTATTCGTTTGGTTACTATTATCTATAAATTTAAACTTTTATACAGTATTTGCCGCAAAACGTCTACTCATTTATAGACACATTTCTGGCACTTCTTATCAAAACTTCTCTCATTTCTAACTCAATGTATATTTTCCACAGGATTTCGATGGAAACGAATTGATTGAATGCATGAAAAAACTGATTAAAATAGACGCCGATTGGGTCCCCCCTTACGAGACGGGCGCCTCCCTCTACATCAGACCCACATTCATAGGCACGGAGGCGGCGCTGGGGGTCCAGAGCGCCAACGACGCCATACTGTACGTCATATGCGGACCGGTGGGCCCCTATTTCGCGGGCGGGGCAGTCAAACCGGTGTCTCTATTGGCCGATCCGGCCTTCGTGAGGGCCTGGCCGGGAGGGGTGGGCGACAAGAAGGTGGGCGCCAACTATGGACCCTCACTGGCCCTGCAGGGCGTCGCCGAGAAGATGGGCTGTCAGCAGGTGTTATGGTTGTATGGGGACGACCATCAGCTCACGGAAGTAGGCGCTATGAATGTGTTTGTGGTTCTGGTGAACGAGAGGGGAGAGAAAGAGTTGGTGACCCCACCACTCAAGTCGGGGCTCATACTACCCGGTGTGACCCGCATGTCACTCATGGAGTTGACTGAATCGATGGGTGAGTTTCAGGTGTCGGAGCGCACGATAACCATGGCTGATGTGAAACAACTGGTCAAAGAGGGCCGGATGTTGGAGATGTTTGGCGCGGGAACGGCGTGTATAGTGTGTCCGATAGGGCGCATACACTTCCAGGACGAGGACATTATAATCCCGACGCCACCCAATAGCGGATCACTTCAAATGCGACTATTCAAGAGTTTGCAAGACATTCAGTACGGAAAGGTAGCCCACGAGTGGGCAGTAGTGGTGGACTAACCCTTGCAATGACTGCATGTTTTTCGTGTAATTATATTAATATTTTTGGTTTTTTTGTTACATTTTTGTGAAGTCATTGAAATTAGCGATAATTTTTTTCCATAACTTATTTGTCAGTTATATGTCTCCGTTGAGTATGTATTCAAATGAATCTCAACTTTAAAAACAGATATATTTTTACATATAATTCAGTGAATTATAAATTCACTCGTGAATTGCTATTAAAAGGAAAACTTACGACAAGAAATTGATATTTTCCATAAAATAACATAAAATCAGACATAATTAGACTTTATTACGAATTTTTAATATATAATTTTATTGTAATTTTTAAAAAGAGAGAAAATATATAATCAAATCGTTTTTTGTCGACTTTACAAATGAGAGAATAAAATTCAATATATAATTTTTTATCATTAATTATTACATGGTTTTCATTGTATTTTTATTACTAAAAAATCATTATAATGACTGCAAATTTTTTTACTTTTCATAATTCATAATAAGTATGTGTTTTGTGTGTCTCATCAGTAATTGTCACATAATTATAATCATAAATAATTATATTTTGTTCGCAAATACAAGATATACTAAAATTCAGAGAAGACATCGAGAAAAATCATTAAAAAATAATTATCACTAAAACAAAAGTAGAGATTAATTGGCAATAAATGTGGTGTAAAATCAGAGTTAAAATCAAAATTCATACGAAAATAAATACAAGTAAAAATACACGGTTAAATTAATTTTCGTGAAATTAAGTATTTGTCCAAAAAAAGGGAGTAAAAGATTACATAAAATTATAATTAATTTATACTCAGCTTACAATTTTTAATCATTAAATATAAAGCTTTTGTTTCATAATCTGTTAAACTGTTTGCATAAAACGATTTGTGATTTTCAAGATTCCGTTTGTAATATATATCATAAAAACTAATTATTGGTATATTTTTGTCATTCATGAGCGGATGTCTTATATATCATATAATTTAAAAAAAACAATTTAATACATAATGTGACGAAAAAAATCATATCGACAGCGAGTTATAGAAATAAATATATACAGGGTCATAATTAATATTATTTTCATAATATATGATTGCTTACTCTAGTCATTATTACATTACAAACTACTTATACTATTCGCATATATATATAAGACAACATCAAATTAAAACAAAAACAAAATCATAAAAAATAACTACAAAAAATCATATATAATATAAAAAAGCGCGTAAAAATCATATATCAAAAAAATTGTACTTAAATTAAAGCTTAAAATATAATTTAACATAAAAAACAGGTGACGTTAAGGGTGTTTATATGTAATTCATAATAATCATAATATTAATACAAAATATTGGCTATAAATCGAGTCTATGATTTAATTAAATTATTGGGTATGAGATTAAAATGGATTATAAATAATAAGAGGTATTATTAGTAGTAGTATTTAGTCATTAAGATAATTACATCGCCAACAAAATGGCTGACAATGCAATTATCATGGTAAATATCTATTCGTAATATAAATGCATTTCAATTTGCAAGACATGGAGTGATACCTGAATTTCATAAATGCATCACTTTTTCTGGACATACAATCAAATGAAAAACATTATGTGATGCCAATTATAGCTCAATCATATCTATATCTAATTTATAATCATAATAATAATCATATTATTACTAATTATAATGAGAATCAAAACAATAGTATATATAATAATATAAGAGTCTATACTTATTGGAAGAATAATTGCTTTTTTTCGTAAGACTTTTGTTTGTATCTATCATTTCAAAAGTTAAACATTATATTAATTTTTTTCTCAAACTATAATTCATATCATAATTTAATATATATATTCATTATAAGTATTTCAATTTTAAAGTAATTCACAATTTCTTAATTACAAGCAATTAATTAATTTAAAAAAAAGAAATATTTTTTCGATATCTAATTGGGAAGAGCCGTAAAAATTATAGATTTCACTCATTTTGTCCAAACTTTTTCACAAAATGAGACATTAATCTAAATATATATATAGATATTCATAGATTTGTATTTCATTTCTTAAATATAAAAGATCATCAATTCTTATAGCAATAAATTCCATAATATATTCTCAATTAATAATAATAATAATAAGTATATTGTATTTAAAGTCTTAAAAGTTTTATATCCCGTATTAGCTATAGTGCAGCGATTTATTGTATTTTTATTACGAGCATAGGTTTGAAAATACTTTGTATTTTGTTTTGTATATTACGAGTGTATTGGAGTTTTATATCGAAAACAAAAGTCCAGTCCTTTTCGAGACTCAAAAATTAATAAAAAGATCTTCGCTTCGGAGGAATACTCCATTCAGACAAATGAGGCGCTCATTGAATAATGAATACAAGAACTTATAAATAAAACGATTAAATGAGACATTTATATGAGTAGTGGTTATGAGAGAATAAAACGAAAAAAATTTTTGCGAAAAACAAATAAATTGACAAAAAATTGTGCTTTTGGTTGAATATATCGGGGGCTGACCTCAAACCCGACCCCCGGGGGGTAGGGGTGTCTGACGATTAGATCTCAGTCTTCACGGTCTTAATGACACCGACTGGTTGTGCATTGGTTTGTATGGCTATGGCTTGGATCTGCTTATAGTCGCTGTTATGCTGAGTGGCGATCGGTTGCTGGACAGGCGTCACGGGCACCACCGTTTGCAGTACCTTTCGGTTCACATTGAGCGCCACGTGCTTTGCCAACTGCTCGGACATCGACGTGCCATCCATGGAGTCATCGTAGGCCTCATCGGCCTCCACCTCGTCATCCAAACCGTCATAAAAGTCATTCTCATCGCTATTCTGATCCTCGAAGACCTCCAGATGGTTGTCGATGTTGAGTGTGGTCTCCGTATTACTGTTGATCACGTGATTCCTCTGGTGCTGATTGAACGAGTTCTTCCAGGGCGTCGAGAACTGGCACCCATTCACTTGGCATTGATACTGACTCTCCCGGTGCACGCGTTTGTGGACATTAACGTTGCCCTTGAAGTTGGTCCGGTAGTTACAGCCCGGGTGGTCGCACTTGAACGGCTTGACCCCAGCGTGTAGGAGCTGGTGAGCGGTGAGACACTGTTTCCATTTGCTCCTGTAGTTGCAGCCCTTGATGGTGCACGAGAACAGCGCCGACATGTGCTCGCCTTTGGCTGACTCGGCGTCGGCGTCCGCGCCATCGGTGACCAGTTGTTGTCCGCCGACCGCCGGTGTCTTAAGGGCGCCGGCGTTGCGGTTAAGCGTAAACCGGAACTTCTTCTTACGCTTCCGCTTACGGATCATATTCGACGAGAAGTTGTTATTTTTGGTCAAATGATGGCTGAGTGTAGTGGACATCGAGGCGGACGAGCCGTGAGTGGTGTTGACCGCCGACGCGGACCCGGAGTTCACCGACGAGTGAGTGGCCGTCGGTGTTGTCGAGTAGTCCTTGTGATTATCATCGGAGTCGATGCGGTGCTTATGCTTCTTATGGATCTTGATGTTGCCCTTGTAGTTGGACTGATAGCCGCACCCCTGGACGTCGCACGAGAACAGCATTTCGCCCGCGTGTAGGCGCTTATGCATCACCAGACGCTGTCTCATGTTTGTCCGGAAGTCGCATCCAATCCAATCGCATTCAAACAGCGTCTTGCCGGCCGACATGTCCTGCAGACCGGACGCCAGCATCGATGGAGAGCCGCCGTCGCCACCACTGCCGCCGAGCGCCGGCTGCGGCGACGTGTCCGTCGATGTGGTGATCACGATGTGGTCGTTGTCGTTGGTCTCCATCGACATCTCGCAGAGCTCTTGCGGCATAAGAACCATCGAGTTATGGGAGGACGACATGTGATCGTCGGCGCGATCGCTGTCGTAGTAGTGGCCGTTCGTCGAGCCCTCGAACCGGCCCTCAAGACTGTCACCGCCGGCGCCCTCGTTGTCATCGGTCGTCGTCTCGTTAGCGGCCATATGATGAGCGCTATTACCGGTGCTGTTAATCATGGCTTTCATGGAAGCGTTAGCCATCGTGTAGTTGTGCTCTTTGGCGGCCATCGGAGGCATAGACCTCATCGACGACATCATCTCGTACTTGCGCTCCCATGCCTTCAGCTCGTCCTCGAGCTCCTGCACGTCGTCCCTGAGCTGATCCAACTGTCCGTTGTCCGTACGCACAGCCGCGTCCACCATGAGGTGCAAGAAGTTAATGCAATCGCTGGACACGCGTTTGATATTATCCAAGAGGTGGACGATGTGTCTCATGGCACACAACTCGTCCTTCAGCTCATTGGTCTCGCGCTCCAGCACTCGGTTTCGCTTGTCCTTCAGCTTCTGCGACGACAGATCCATGGCTGCCGAGGAATGGCTGACTCAATGAGTGGTGAGTGTGTGTGAGTGAGTGGTGTGAAGACAATGTAATCACATATAAGTAGCGGCTATTGAATGGCGGAGGAAGTCGTGGACACGAATTGTCTGAACGCACGGAAACACTGGTCCTAATGAGTGGTGGAGACAATGGTTACCATCGACTCACTGGACGTGTCATAACACAGACCATAATAGTGGTGATAATAGTTGTGGTAATAGTTTGCGCGACAATAATGTGGTAATAGTGATGATAATAGCGGTTATAGTGTGCAGCGAATGGCGATTACAATAATAATGGCACTCATTGTGTGTTTGCAGTTGTAATGACTGAATGGGTTATGAAATGAATAAATAATCGATTCATTGAATGCATAATTAAATTAGTTATCTGTAGAGCACATGTCCGTCAAACGCATACACCACTAGTGTATTGACAATAGCAGTGCCACTATATAATGCCAAACCTAATGCTAATCCTATGGCTATATAATGTGCAAACGGACTATAGCTGTTCACGGGCTACAATGCGTTCACTTTTATTTTTCTTTATCTTTTTGTTTATGTTTTTATTTTTCATTTCGACAAAAACTTTACTTTTTTCACATATGATTCACTATGCGAGGGGCTTTTTCTATGGTTAGCACGGCATTTATTTCTATTAATCACCTAGACTACTATTTTGCGCTAATATATGGTCCGAGTGAGCTAGTTACGAGTTTATTAATTATGGTTATAAATATGATTATAAAATATCCGTTAATTAAAAGACCTCTACAATTGGGTGTTCACCACATTTGACAGTATAATTAAGTGCTATATAGCGCTACACTGCCCTATAAGACGTTACATTTTTGCTCGCTTTTTGGGACCCCTGTAGAGATTTTTTTATTTTTTACTAAACTATTTATGGGGTTATATTTTTATTTGTACCTGGTACGGGTGTATAATTAGCATTGCTCGCGATATTCAATAATTTGGTAACGATTTAATGTCAAAGTTTTGTAATATAATTACAAATTATTACAATTATATGCATGTTATAATATTTATAAACAATAGACATTAAATGTACCGTTCACATATGAGGTACACATTTATGAAGGTTACTATGGCTAATATGAATAATTTGAACCTAGCATACTCCTTTTATGTTAAATTACACTAAATTCATGCGTTACACGGCGTATAATTAATTGTAATTTAGTGCGGGATTAGTTTAAATATGATTTTAAATAATGATAATAATAATAATATATTAAAAATATAATGAAAATAAAAGTATTCATAAATCAAACCTACATTTGGTATTATAGCTGTTGAACACGTATTCAATGAATAATAATAAAAAGTATTTAACTTTTATTTATTATGCAAAACATTATTAAAAACTAAAAAAACTTAATTCACATTTTGTATACAAAAAAGGAAAGTAACATAAAAAATAAAATAAAACACAAATATTACACACAAAATGAATACAATTATTAATATAATAAAAAATAAATTTCAATACAAAGCGAGAGACACAAAATATTTATTATTTAAAAACTTTTTATAACTACACTATTAAAACATTTTTAAATAATACTGAATAAGCTTTTTATGTGAGACTAAGCTAGCATTAAGTGTTTTAGAAAAGTAAAAAAACGAGTTTTAGTTTTATGTTTGCAATCCTTTTTAATTATTATATAAAAAACTTTTCAATAGTTTATAATAATAGCTGCAAAAAGTTTTTTCTCTTAACAAACATTTCTCTCTCGCATAATATTAATGCGAATATAAAAATATATATATTTTTTATTATAATAGTAGTTACACTTGCAATGCTACCCTAACCTATGTCTCTAGCTAACCTTGAAAATGTATATTTAAAAATGTATATAGCTTTCATTAAAAGTTATTATTATTTAGATTAAGTAATTGAAACATTATTCAAGTCACGAAAAAACAAGTTTTTTTCAGTACTTTTATTTTCGCTATAATCCAAACGTATGGGAGATTTGTATGTTTTTATTATAATATGTATATAATATACAGTATAATATGTAATGAAAAAAGTTTTTGTAGTCCTTTCTCTCTCTCTCTCTCTCTCTCTCTCTCCCTCTCTTTATTTGTATTAACAATTCATTCATCCATTCACTGACTCATACATATAATGAATACATTGTTTAGCTCTGATTTGTATATTATTTATAATTACAAACACACAAAAGTCACTAAAACTTGTTTTCCGATGATAGTTAAGTCTACCTTAAACTTAGCCATCACAGTCACCTAACTTTATAATAAGTATACCTGTAATTAGACATAAAACAAACTTTTTTACGAGTTTATTATTTAAATTTTTTTAAACATGAATTTTTTCTCTCATAATAATCGTTTGCAATGAATTTGATATCATTTCTGTGAAAATAAAACTATTTTTGTCTAAACTTTTACTACATATAGCTCTCGGAAATCCATGCAATGATTCCTATACCTAATACATAGGAGACAATTAAAAGCGTCAAATTTATTGGCTTTAAGGGCTTTAAACTCGTCGTAATCGATAGCCAGGTCTTTGTCGTCGTCGAAGTAATCCATGAGACAATTCCAGCGCATATTCCGGGTCTTTGGCTCCCAGAGACTGAACTGTTTGGCCACCTCTGGAGGGCTCACTTTGCGACCAAATTCAAAGCTTACCACATCTGACACAATATGATATTCATTGATATCTTGGATATTTTGTATGCAAATTAATTGTATTTAACAATACATACCGTTTGCGTGAAAAAGTTGTATCAAATACGACTGAAACTCACGGATGTCTACCTTATGATCGCCATCGATGTCCATGTGATGGAAGAGTCGACTGGAGTTCCGATCGTTTGGATAAGGGATTCGCCGTAAGAAATAGTCGGCGATAATACCCACGGAGGCGATGGATATGGAGATCCAGTCGTTGAATATGATATCAAATATTGTGATACGAGATCTCGTTTCTATAGTCTCTGAGTTAATTAATTTTATAATGATTTTAATCAGGCTAACTTATTTTATGCTTATATTACCTGTTTGTGATTCTGTGGTAATTAAACAAATAGTAAATAAAACTATAAACAAGTGAATAAAATTCATATTCATTATCAATATCTATGATAATGATTACTATTGCATTTATCACTGTTTTATTTTCAAGATAAATGATCAAAAATGTTGTCAAGATCCTTTAAGGATGTGTTTGATGTTTAAGATACTAGTTATTAGCTGTTTTTCACACTATTAGGGACAGTAGGCCTTACGATAGGATACTATTATGAGCTTATCATTTGTGAAATCCTTTTGTGATTTTTACAATACATAAATCCTATTAACACTGTTTTTAGATTTAAACAAAAGTCTGTTTTATTAATATTCAGTGCACACGGATTAAGAGCAATACACTTGATAATAGTGATAAACATTAGGATTCATAGACTGGGAACTTACATGAATGTACTTTTAATATAGTAAAATAAAAAATATTGCAAAAGTATACAAAAGTTTTCAATGTTATATGATTTTAACAAATTATTGAAATTAATGACGAGTAATAAAAATAACAATTTGTAAATTTATAATACAAAAACTTTATTCACGAAGTTTATCACTTTTAAATTACTTTATGAATACTAGTAAATTACTATTATTTTATGCGGTCTATGGTATATTACTAGACTTTATGGGATTAATAAAATAATTATGAGTACATTATTAACAAGCAACATTGTAAACACTGTTATACTAATCATAATGCAATGCAATTGTGACATAATTGTGAAATAAATGTTCAAACTTTAGCTATATTTTTAAATATGAAGTAAACAGGAAATTTCAATAAAAACAATTTCCAAACTAATAGAAATTACAATTAATGTTCAATAATAAAGTCGTTATTGCTAGATTATAGTTAGCATATATCATATTATAGATAACGTGGATCATTTATTGCAATTTTTGCAATTTCCAATACAGTGAGTAATCGTGTATTATGATAATTATTAACCATATTGTACCGCAGTATTACACTTAGCTATACATTTGTGCAAATATTTGAATTGACAATTCATGTTCATAAATGTTAACTAGCACTCGACATAATAAATGCAGTTTTATAGCATTATTTAACTAAAATTTTACAAAAATTATCATTGGTAAGTTTATTTCAACCTCCCAGTGAACCATACGTTACATATAAAAAATACAATTAAATTATTAAGTGGTTTAAGGACCTATTGTTTGATGTATATCGTAAACATTAGGGACTATTAATCATAACCTAATCTAATCTGGTTTCTATAGAAATTTGTTGGTTTATTTGCAATACTGTTCCCTAATTAATATAATTTATTATTAAAACTTTTATTTGTGTGTAAAAACAATCACAATAAATGTGTCTACGATT